TTAAATGTATACATATGCTGTTTGATTTTTTTAATGTCTTCAGTATACCTTGACGCCTCTGAGTTCTTGCACAACCCTGAAGGCAGGATTTATGCCTATCAACTTCAGTTTATCACATTCACACTAAGAGTCAGGAGAGTAAGGAATCAGCCCAGACTCTCACAAGGGGCAAGGAGAAAGACCTCAGTCCAGTCGCTAGCCCTAGAGTCTCAGGGTTCACGACTCTTATCTGGAGACAGGAAAGCATAGGCACGGGCCCACAGAAGCGGCTCCAAGGTCAGCAAGATCAGCTACAGGGGTGACACTGCTGATTTGATGGTAGGAGTTGTCTACTGAGATGCTCCTGGTATGGAATAGTGGGTATATTCACAGTGAGTGGAAAACCCACAAAATCAGTCAGGTTCCCCCATACCCTGATAGGCATCCCCTCAAAACAAAGGTTAGCATCTTCAACAGTTTTCCCTGATGTTAATTTCACTACAACTATGCTGCTTTTTCTTTTTTTGGTATTCTCAGTCCTAGGAATTTCTCTTCAAGATGTAGTCCGAAAGGAAAAAAGGTCATATGCATGACTCCATAACCACAGCACTGCCTGTAACAACTAATATCAGAAAAATTTAGTGTCCAGTTACATGGCACTATCTAAGCCATGGTAGGTCACTTTGATAGAATATGGTGTGGCAATGAAAGCAATGAGTATCATAATGGTGGAACAAGGTGAAAAGTACCGTAATACTAAATGTTAAAAGAAGAATCAAAATATGCTGGCTACACACTGATAAAAATATTATTTTTTATAAACAAAGACTAGAAACATAAAATAGGTTATGCATGAATCTTTGTTGATAATTTACTTTAAATTTCCATATCATTAATAAAAATCTTATAGGAAATAAGAAATAATAAGTAGCTTGCTCAACATTACTAAACTTCCGTGTGTGTGTGTGTGTGTGTGTGTGTGTGTGTGTATGTGTGTGTGTGTCTGGGAGTCAGTTGATACTTATTATGTTAATTTAAAACCAAGAGTTACAGGGGTCAACACTTAAAATTACTCGCTGGATAATTTTCACTAAGCCTTTCAACCTCCGTACTCATAAATTCACCCATCTGTTGGAAGAGCTCTTATGGTCAGAGCTCAACAAGTGCTTCCTGAGTGAGGGAATAAATGGAAACGAACAGAGCTCTCGTGCCTGGAAAGAAAACTCTGGATCCAATGCACTCATGAAGTTGTCTGTCCTGTAGGCATCATGAGGCATGGCAATGTATTTTCTGGGCTGTCCTTCCTGCTGGCATCCTGTATAATTTCTTTTTACCGTAGGAAAGAGTGGCATGATATTTAAAAGCACATCTAAAATTGGGCCAAACCCAGGCTGCATAAATGACACCACAGGGACATGAAGGGAAGATTTCCCAACATTTCTGCGTCCCTTACCTTAAAATTTCCTTTACCAAAGACAGACGCATAGCTTATTTAAATGTATTCCAAGCCATTTCCTCTGTTTTCTGTTGCCACTGGAAATGGGTCATCTCTAGCTCTCCACCTTATGATTGCTGTTTGCACAGCCTGTAGGTTTGGGCCTGGCTATTGTGAGAGAGCTTCCCTGCGCACTTAGCTTTCCCATCTCACATTGACGTCACCTGTGAACATTAAGGTGCGTTTCCTCCTTCCAAGGCTGTGACCCTCAGACATTTTTCATGCCTCACTGGACCAGCCTGTGTGGCCAGTGAGGTTTTCCCTGATGTTAGCGGCACCCTTGTCTTGCCCCTCTATCCGGTTAATGCTACTTTAAAGTTCCCCTATCAAGAGGTCTGGAATACAATCTCCCATGGTTTTCTGATTTGTTGATATCAAAAAATAAACACATATGAAAAATTTAAAGCATGGCTTTATTACAAATGTTCTGTGTGATGTGAGTAATCACACAATTAATCACCCTGTAGCAGAAAAAGAAGAGGTAAACCTGATACATTTTTCTACATCCTAGAAGACAAAAATCCTTAGGAGCACCATAGTTTGGATATCACTTAATTTTGTGTTAGAAAAGTAAACTTAATGAAGCAATAAATTACATGACAAAATCCAAACATTAGATAAGGTGAGGAAATTAGAAATAAAAGTATGGATTTTATATACAAACATGCTTGACTAATGAGTATATAGTTGCTTTCTCTACAGAACAGACCTCCTGGTACACAGATGCTTTCTGAGAAATACTGATGACATGAGGATCTTCAGGAAAATCTGCCCAGTGTCAGGCTCTGGGTGGTTGCATTGGGTTGATTTCTGGGGCCATGGGAACAGCTGGGACGGGACAGTAGTGGGGTTGGTGGGTTGCTGCGGCCTGCCTGAACCCAGACTGCACAGTGGGACTGGCCAGGAGGATAGGAAGGCTAGGCTACCCTAGCTGCGGTTTCTCCCACTCTCTGGACAGGATTCCCAGGTGGTTGGGCACATTTAACTGGGTGAACAGAATAGTTCCATGGCTCACAGTCCCACCAAGATGTTAAAGACACTTTAGAAAGAGCACTAGTTAAGATAGCTGCCTGTCGCTAGCTGTTAGGTTACTCTCACTCCCCATCTACCCAGTTCTGAGCCTTTGGCAAGAGAATTAGCCTTCTTAAGGCTCAGGAGCACCATCTGCAGATACCACTTCTTGAAGATGATATAAGGATTATAGGACATTACCATGATAAGAGCCCAGCATGGAACAGAACTGAACTTGAACTTGTTCTAGAGGAAGCCAGCCTTACTGCAGAGGAAGACAACCCTCCATCATTACTGTCTTAAGATTTCAGGATGTTGGGAGAACTAGCCTGTCAGTGATGGGGTGGCCAGTTGACAGCCAGCATCCCAGCAAGATGGGCATGCAATATGTCACCTCCTTTCTCTTGCCATGTCACGGTGAAATCACACTCTAAGGCACCATTTTTGATATGCACTTTTGCCACAGTCATGGCTAGCTCCATGATAGCTTAAACTTTTATTGTTTTGCTTTTAAATCTAAATCCTAATTTCTCTTGCATTTTTTTATGTTGCCCTGGCAAAAACTGTCCTGTAGAAAGGTTGGGGATATAGAGTCCCAGTTCTCTACTTTGAAGAGAGTGGGGTTGTCATGAGAAGGTGGCATGGCTACAGGAAGCCCCTGGCCTTAGCAGCTTTCCTGATGACACTCCAAAACCAAGCAACAGCGAGGGATGAAGAACAGCATGACGCTGAAGCATCACTCCCTTGCTCCATCCTAAAGTTTGGCCAGAAATCTCAATCAGGAAGTACATACTCCATCCCTGGAGGGACCAAAGAGGCCCTTATCTGGAGCACACTCAAGGTAATTATTAACTTCTGGAATTTTCAGACCCTTCATAACCTTGCACAATTATTTCACAGTGGTATCTGATTAATACAAAATACTTGGGCTAGTGACTAGTAAATGCCTTGTGTCCAGGAAGCTGTTCAAAAAATACACCAAAGTAGGAATTTGTTACTGGCAATGTGGTCAATCCTGACTTTCTTCAAGTACTGCTTCCCTGGAATTAAAGGCTTGAAAGATTCCAGGTGGCAGTACTTTTTAAGACATGATTATAAATTTAGGAATTTGTTCTGTTATTGAAAAATCAAGTCTGGCGAACAAATTAATTATGTGTATGCTTCAAATGTGCAGTGTGTTTTCTAAAATGCAGTGTGTTCTCATGTTGAGCTTTTGCTTTGTTGCCTGGCCAAGTGCTGGCTTAAGCAGGAGCTTGTTCTGCTTGACAAGACAGAGGTGTCACACAACACAGAAGGCCGAACAAAGCACCAACCACCTTCTGGAAATGACCATGTGACCAGGGACTGACAAGAACTGTCTCCTGTCCATGGATCCTCATGGTGGCAGCAACATCACTGTCCTTGCACATGCAAATGGGAACAGAAGTGCAGAAGGACCAACACCCACTGAAACTTCCCAGACTGCAGGTAGCCGCAGGCTTACCATGCTGGGAAAGTTGGGTTGGTCTCTTGCACACAAGTCAATGATGCAAGTCAGGGTTCACACGGAGACCTCCCAGGGACTGCAGTACTGGCCAACCCATCACTGGGGGAATGAGAAAAAAAAAACCATTAAACTCTGAGGAAGTTAGAGGTTGAACAACACTGAGTGGGCTTCTCCACATGGCTCCCACACACAGGCATGCTGATGTGCATGGAGGTCTCCACACAGAGTTACGGTACACGGCAGTTACCTATTGTCTGCAGGGCATTCCGGGGGCACTTGGGGAATTGAGCCTGAGTGTGCCGCTTGCTTTGCAGCCATCATAGCAAGAGTCCCTGCAGAGCCAGAAAAACACCCCAGCAGGGCCTGCAAAGCCTCCAGGGACTGCCGCTTGGCCTATGGAATCGGTGCCTCATAGTGAATCCAGCCTGGCACTGGAACTGGGGTCCACAATGTCGCTGCCTGGCAGCAATGGAAACAGTTTCAGCAGGAAAGGGAGAGGCTCACAGGTGGGGCAGTCTCCTGCCTCCTCCATGCCCCTGCCCACTCCCACCATCCTCTTTGCCAGCGACTTTCTTCCACGCTGGGGGTCCTTGCTATAGATGCAGTTGCTGCCACAAAAGCCCAGCTGGCTGCTGATGGCAGGGATTCCGGTGCCCTAAGAAGTTTCCCAGGACAGCGGTCAGCCACAGGAGCAGTGAGGTGGAGGCTGTGACCCCAGGCTGTGGGGCTCCCTGGCTCTCGTGCTCACAGGATGCAGCAGGTATGCAACCCTAGTCTTCAATCCGGTATCCTTTCCACTGGATCTTGATCCAGGAACTATCATAGTTGCAGCAAAAAGCAAAACAGTGCTGGGAAAAGAGACACTGTTCCAGTAGAAGTCACCCCGAACTGTTCAGTGGGGGCTGAGAGGAAAAGATGCTCCCACAAATGACATGGGAAAGGAACTTCTGAGTGACATTTGGAAGCAAAGTCAGCAAATTGCACTCTAGTATCCCAATTTCCAGACTTCTCATCTCAGTTCAAGAGAATTAAGCCAGGCACATCCGTGGCGAGGGGAGTCCATCCAATGACACAGGGACCATCTCCTTCTCTAGCCCCTTCAGGGCTGCACTTCCCAGGGTGCAGCTGCTGCGCTGGAGGCCCCAGCTTCTCCTCCTCCCACCTCCTTTGCTGGCTGGAGCTGCAGAAACATGGCCTGCAGCGTCTCCTTCACCATCTGGAGCTGTCCCTTGAGGGACTGTGGGTGCCGTTAAGGAAGAGTGGGAGGGGACCTGGTTTCCACAGCCTCCCGGGGAAGCAGGAGAGCAAGCGTGCCTGCTGGGAGTAGATGGGCTCTGCCATCTAATTGCAGTTCCAAGCTCTCCCAAACTGTAGGAATTAAATATTGATACAAATTTTACACTTCTTTTAAGAGGGATTGCAATTTTACCAGGCCTGGGGTCATTAACTATCTCAAGTATGATTTTCAAAATGCAGCAGGAAAGAGTCAGCTCCCAGGCTGAGACAGATGGCCAGATCAGATGCTCAGTGCTGCATGGTTGGTGTGATCATACTGCCGCTAAGCCCTGAGCTAGGGTGGGCGGCTGTCAGACCCAACTGCTCTCACTGTGGAATCAAAGCCTTCTCAATAAAGCAGGACTTGGGGCCGCTGTGACTACAGAGAGAACATTGGACCAGCTTACGTCAGGTGTGGTGAACCATTAACCGTCTGGTTACCTGGGGCAAGCTCCTTCTAAACTAGTTTTTCACCTGAAACAAGGACTGCAAAGCCCTGACTGTAAGCGTTGTCCTCACTCAGTATGTTCTAGACACCAGTAAGGTGACCCAGGATTGGATGGTGAGCAAGGAACCTGTTGTTTCTGAGTCAGCTCGTTGGGATCTTCTTAAACTGGTGAGTACTTAATCTTCTGACTCATAGAGTTGTGTCTCACATAGAGAAAACAGTCGCAAGAAGCACAGCAAATAGTAAGGCGGACAGTGAAAACTGCTGTTCTTGTAAGGAACAGATTTTCTTCGAACATTCACACAGAGGAACATTCACCAACAGTGGTTTTAGTCAGATTTTAGGCCGCTTCTATTTGTATCTGTCCTCAAAACAACCCTAAGACAAATGCAGGATAAGAGCTGGGTCTAGCAAGCAAACTGATGCCACCTCATCTGCATATAAGAGTGGAATGTGTTCACACCACTTAAACATGTTTAAATCATCACAGAACTCAGGCCATTCAAATATTCTAGTCAGACATGGAGGAAACAAAGGTTTGGGAAAAGCAATATGCAGAGATCTGACTGCTTACACGCTACCTGCCCTGCAGTGTTCCATCCAGCTCAATGTAACCACCATGTCAAGAGAAAATGACACCTATATGGTGTGACTGTAGAAAGCTTTCCCCTTCCGTTTTGAACAATGAACTCCAGAGAATACTGGGGATTATGCAAATGAGCCTCGCCCAAGCAGAAACGCTGAACTACCCTGAGCAGCTTTTCAGCCCCTTGAAGTTCACTGGACTCATCATTTGTGTCATCTACATACATCTGCTGTGCTAGTTCACTGCTTGTACTTGAACTTGAGGGCAATGAGTGGGGTAGGGAGAATGAGAGATGAACGATCCAATATTTCCCCTCCTTTTCCCCATCCCTTCCCTTTCTGATTCCCTCCCTTCCTACAGAAGTTTTGTTCTCCAGTTCTCCATTGGACAAATCTACTAATCTTTACTAAAAATACATACAACTTCATATCAGCAAAAAGCATAAATGGTCCCAGATCGAATACCACACAGCAATTTATCACAAAGTCTGCACATTTATAAAGAGCAAGCACAGAGCTCAGGTGGTTGATGAATGCTGACAAACTCCTGGGACTTAATTACCTTTGATACGAAGCCTGGAACTACACACCACTATTTGTAATCTGCTAAGTGATGACAAAGGTTTCTAGAGAAAGAAATTAAACCAAAATGTGTTGTTTCTTAGAAGAAAACTCAGAAAACTTCTAATACTGGTGGATGAAACTGAGAAGGTTGAAGGGAAAAAGAAGCTACTAAAGAAAGAGTTTAAATTATATAATTAACAAATCATCCCCTCCTAGGTTAATCTCCACTAACATACCCAAGGGTCAAAAAAGGGGGGAGATTTGAAGATACAAATCCTCATGAAGCTAGGCAGTTCATTTCATCCTTAACTGTTCCATTCATGAATCTTGTACTTTCTTGTACTTTCTTCATAGGGTTAGAGCTTTAAAAATTTTTTTTTCTTGTGAGAATATAGTGTCTTTTGTCCATTGTGAGGAACCGTGAGATTTAAAGTTTATTTCTTAACACAACAGATATAACAAGCATCTTAGGCTCTGACAGAGCAAAGCTAACCATCAGAAATCCTGTAAACCTCATCTAGTGAGTTTATGATCATTAAAATAACTAAACTCAGTTGTATTTACAAAACCTCTCTCTAACTAATCCCCCATGTGATTCCTTACAAAATAGAAGTTCTAAAATATTTTGGATAACTTCCAACAGTCTAGGCTAAACTAGAGCAGAGAAGAAAACCCAAGATGCAAAAAAATTTTACAGGATAATCCTAATTTTACACAAGAGTACAGCGGTAAGCCATCTATAGCTAGAAAGCTATTTCAGGAGGACACAGAGGTGATTCACATAGCGGCATTGGGAGGGAGATGCGTTTTGTTTTTTTGGTTTTTTTTTTTTTACTTTTCATAGGTTTGCAACAGTCACAATGAACATAGATTACTTTCACATTTAAATTAATCCATTATAAAAGAAATCACTTCCTAGCCAAGATCTTGAGGCTACTAAGCAATAGACCATGTAGAGCTAGAATCTGATTTAGCTTGTCTGTCCCAGGGTGCTGGGCTCCCAGTGAAATAGAACCATGAGGTTCCCAGAGCAGAGGGGTCTTAGCACTCCCACAGTGAGGAGCGGCTTCAGTCATCCCCAAGAGGAGCACCGTGGCTCGGACAGGGCAGTGCCTGTGAGGTGACAGCAGTGGCCAGAATGACATGTTCTGAGGATGCAGCCAAGGACATGCGGCAACATAACGGAAATTGGGTGTGGACAGTGGAAAGGGCATGAATAACTCCCTGATTCTCCGTCTGAACAAATAACTGGGAAAATAGGCCTGCAGTATGTTGAAACACAGAGGGTGTATGTGGGTTAGTGGGGAGGGGCTCAGTATGGGACAAAGGATACCGGAAAAGCCTCTTGGCCAAAGGCTAGTCATGTGCACTTGGAGGTTACATTGAGCCATATACAGTATATTTTTAAAATATCAGCTAATGCAGCAAGCTCACAGTTGAAGCCCACTGGCATATTTGACTGTGATTTCTGTCAAAGGTCCTTCTCCCAGCTTCTCACATCTAGGGGCAGAAAACATTCCCAAGTAGCTAGAGCAATCCACCAAAACTCCTGCTACCTTAGTCCTTCAAGCTGCGGCTGGAAAGCTGAACCAGACAAGAGTCTTCAGGGACTGTGGTGTTTACGCACGAGCCTGGTGTATTTTCACATTTTCTTACTGATTTGCAGTAAAATAAACTTCCATTTGGTACAGTGAACCAAGATCTTCTGTCTACAAAGCAGTGGAGTAAGGCTAGAATCTGCTTTTCTGATGCTAATACAAGTTTATAGTTGAAGCCAACTGACATATTTGACCTTGATTTGTTTTCAAAGGGCTGAATAAAGTACAAGTCCAGTGTTGCAGGCTTAGGCATCTGTAACGGAGGGCTCACAGCCTCTGAGCAAGTATAAGAAGAGCCCCAAAGGACTGATGAGAGTCCTGGTACCTGTGCCCTAGGAACCTGGATGACTAAGTTGGAAGTCCCCTGATAGACATGCCGCCAGGCACCTGCGATATCTTAAGGAAATTCACGCGTTAATTGGGGTAGACTACCTACTTACTTGGCAAATGCATGACCTGCTGAAATGTCAGTGCTGAAGATCAGTAAGGGAGTGTGGCTGTGAGGCCCCCAGGAATACAGTGGTGACCTTTGCGGAAAACCTAGGAATTCTTCCAATGGAGCCTTCCTTTTCATATGAAAGTTACTGCGTATTTTATTGTCCATGGACTTTCCTAGTGACCACTCTTTTTGTTGTTGCACGGGGGATAGAACCTGGTCCTCTTGAATGTGACACAGTGCTCTCCCACTGAGCTCTGTCCCTACCCCCACTTGCTTTCTAAATTTTGAGACAGGGTCTTGCTAAGCTTCCCCGGTTTGCCCTGGATTCCAGGTGTTCATTCCGATGGCTCAGTCAAAAGTAGGTCTTCAGCTCCTCTGACCTAGTTTGGTTTAAAAGGAGACAAGGGTGTATGTAGCCTTTGAAACTGTTTTTCATTTGTTACTTTCTTTTTTCTTTAGCAACATGCTTTCCTCTGTAGTCACTATGGCCTACAGTACTGGGAAACATACCACATAGAAAAGCCAGAGGTTAGGATCAGTAATTCTGAGGGGCGAAGTGGGGGGAACCGCCCATTCTGAGGACCTGGATCGAACAACTCAGTAGGTGCACAGGGGGCCTCTGTATTGTCTACCTCATGCCAAGACCACCATGTTGCCCAGGCTAGCAGTAGATAGCCATGTGTACACTTCCCCCTACTGCAGTCTGCCCCAAACTTTCCACTCAAGCCTAGGTGGGAGTCAAGGGGAAGCTCTGTGTTCCCCACCCTGCATCCACCCAAAATTCCCTAATGCCTTAAAGAGCAGCCTCACTGGTCTTACTTTTCTTATCTGTAAGGTTCTGAGAGGAGCTTAAGGTCTTCACGATCCCTCTCCCAGCTCTTCAGCTCTTAGGGCAAAAAGCATTTCCCAGGAGAGAGGAACAATTTCCCCCAAACCCTTACTACCTTTGTTCCTTCAACCTACGCATTTGAAAGTTGAACCAGACAAGAGCCCTTGAGGGGCTGGGGTGTTTATGCATGAGCCTGGATGTATTTAGAGTCGTTGCATGCATCAAACTCACCAAGACTAATCAATTGGGCGCCACGCATTCCAAATGAGCAGAGAGAATAGAATTCCATAAGGGCTTCTGGACACGGATGTAAATACAACTGCAAATAGAATTAGTCTGTCCCCACCTTGTCTGTTACTCTCAGGCAGGCAGATCTGCCCTGGGGGTTTTGAAATATGCCCCAAATGTGCAAATCCCAGCTGTCTTTCTTTTCCTCTGATAGTGAGAAGCCTGCAGAAGTTGACAAAGAAGGAAATGTGAAAATCCCCGCTTAAAAATCCACCTAAACCTAGCAGGTTTTTAGTTAATATATCTTGAACATAGAAGAACCATTACACATTCAAACGGTTTTTCAAAATGCAACTGCTAATTAGGACCCACAATGACTGTGAAATTGTACTCCAGGCTCAGGCTCTTGCTCCTGGAACCTGCTCCCTGGCTGTGAAGTCGCACTACTGGTTCCTTCCTGGCTCCTGCATGAGACCCTCCTGCAGCCTGTTCTCCCAATTAGTGGTGCAGACCCTTCTCAGACACCTACCCGGTAGCAGCTGGCTGGCCGGGGCTCTCATCTGGTTGTGCTATATGTAATTTAGCAAGCCTGTCAGGGCCATGAAGAGACACAGCCCATCCCCCCACCCCAGATTTGTTAATCCAGCATCTTTGTAAAGAGACTCCCAGCAGGCTGCCAGTTACTGTGACTTTAAACAGGATGCCAGGAGGACCTGTTTGGAAACTCCCGGCACTGTACCGCCCATCACTTGCCTGTCCCTCTGTGGGGCCACCCGCCACATGCACGTGCACACACGGCTTATGCAGATGCTCTGTGCTCCTGCTGGGAGAATGGACATAGTGGACTCCAGACACGTTATCTCTGGTGGGCCTACACTGACCACACTCCATGTGGACTTGGATTAATCTTGCCCCACTCACTGCCCAGGCAGCGAGCTTAATGGCACAACAATACAGCACACTCCCTATGTAGCTCTTCTGTGTTATAGGTGACAAGCTACTCCTTTCAACCACTCTCAACACTAAATCTGTGATCAAAAATGAAAATACAAACCAGGCAGAGTTTGGCAGGAGGATCCTGGCAGTCCTTTTGAACCTTGAGGTAAGTTCTAATCTGAAACAATGGCTTTGTTTGTCAGGGAGCCCCACTGAGCCGGGTAAATATGAGGCACAGTGTCCCACTCAAATCTAAGTGCATGAGTTTAACGATGCCTTTGTGTATTTATTCTCAATCACTGATGCAGACACAGCCTGACCTTCTAAGGAAAGTCGGGGTTGAAATCCATCCCGAGGAATGGACTGTATTTGAAGGGGAGGGGGCGCTGGCTTAGGTCTTACAAAGACCAGTGGTTTGACAGCCCAGCCCTAGTTTGACATTTCCTCATTTACCTCAGCATGGATCAACAAAATTCCCAAAGGCAGGGAGACCTCAATAGGGGAGCTTTGCGGGGGTGGGGTGCTGAGATTGGACCCAGTGACTTCACACTGAACTACACCCTCAGTCCTTTTTTATTTTTTATTTTGAGACATTTGCTGAGTTGCCCAGGCTTGGCTCAGATTTGTAATCCTCCTGCCTAAGCCTCCCTGCATGCAGGGATTATAGGTATGCACCACCACACCTGGGTCTAGAGCTTAAAATTTAAAGTGACTGTTCTCTCTACTGAACAGACCTATCCCTTCACGTACAGGCATAGCTGCCTCCTGATGGGCCACGTGAAGCCAGGGCCTGGGCCTGGGTGGTTCTGGACTACTGACCTGCTATGTTCTAAGCCTCCATTTTCCTGAGTCTAAAGCAGGGACAGGAATCTTTTCCTACTTATAGCAATTAAGAATTAAATGACTTCTTTACATAAACCATGATGGGACTACTGACTCCTTCCAGCATTTATTACAAGGGGACTGAATCCACCTACCTTGAAACTGTGTGTGTGCAAACAGGGTGCTGGTGACGTTGGGACAAAGAGGCTGAGAACAGTGAGATCAATGAATGGCCTTGGACGCCAAGTGCTTGCTGCAGGTGAGGACTATGTTAAACACAGGTTGTGCATACAGCTTCTCTTCACTCTGTAAAAACTTAGAAGTGCTCGCAACTATCCCCATGCTGCAAATGAGGTTGCCAATGCTCCATCATTTGTCCCTGATTCCATTCTACTGAGCCTGGCTCATACTGGCTGTAGAAAAGCCACAGGGTCTCCTTGAAACGCTGTTCAGCGCCTTCTCAGCCTCCTCTCCTGTCCCCAGGCCTGGTAAGGACAACTCCCTAGAATCAAACTAATCTTCTAGAAAGTTTCAAAACAATAGACCAGTACAGACTCTGACTGCAGTGTTCAGAACAGCTCCTGGGCCCTCCTAGGTCAAGGTGCCTCCTGCTCAGGACCCTCACATGCCTGGCAGGGTCTGGACCCTCTGCAGGCCTTGGCTTCCTGAAGCGCGTGGCTTTCATGTGCCCAGAAGTAGCTGCTGGCTGTTAATGGACATCATGGCCCCGTAGGAGAGCTTAAACCTATGGCCCCCTGAGCATGTGAACAGCAAAAGATGTCATTGTTCTTTCTGCTGCTCTGAGGCAACTTTCCACCAACAGCTTAAACACTGGTTTTGTAAGAGGCAGAAATTAGAAAACAGAGAAATTCTTAAACATGTACCTTGAACAATGTGAAAATGATTGCTGATTAAATTGAAGAAATATCTTGCTAAGTTTAATAAGCAAGGTCAAAAATGTAAAGTTATAACAAGAAAGGAAAGAATGTTGAATTCATCATTAAATCATTTATCTGAATACTTTTGATTAAGATTAATCCTTAACTATTCAAAACTACTTACACACAGATAAAGTATAATAATCACCGGAACTCTAGTAAGGTTGCAACGGGAAGCAAAGGTCAAAATAAGTCTCCTACAAACACATCTAAAAGAAGTCATGCCAGTGAATAGAATGAATGAATGAACAGGGAAGTGGTTTTAGCTAGAAAACAACAAATTGTCATTTAATAACCAGAAAGATACAGGATGGGTGTACTTACCCCTTTATCCAGCTATGTACCCTTTCATCTATCCTTAGAGAAACTCGCCAGTGATACACCAGGTCCCCTGGTGTGCAGAGCCTCACATGGATATACCTGACTAACATACCCTCCTATCACCTTGCTTACTGCAGCTTGTTTTGACACAGATGTTTGTGGAGCCTGAACCCTGAGTCTGATGCAAGAGAATCCTATGATTCAGAATAAAAAAGGACAGAGTTAAGCTTAACTGTGTGTATGTGGTTAGACACTGAAGAGGAATGATCCAAAGAGTCATTAGCTTTGATACTGTACTGCCCGTTATGTGGAAGAACTGTATGATGAAGAAATTTAAGGACGGATTTGGGTTACTTGGTATTTTTAAAGCCTTTAAGAAAGTGAGCTAGTCAAATGCTTTGTTCCGATGATTTCCCAAAGGCCATATGGACCCGACTTCATACCCACTGAAACTCCATTTTGCTCTGACTTCATTGTGTGTGTGTCTGAACTTTGTGGTTACCTTTTAGCGGTCAAGCTTAATAATCAAAAATATTGAATTGCTTAATGAGAAACAAAGAGAAAATATTGCATACTGGATAATCTCATGCCATAATTTGTTTCCATTCACTGAGGCATATGGAAATGGTGCAATTTTTTAAGATTTTCTTTTACAAAATAACCTTGCAGGTGCCTCATCTGCACGATGAAAAGGATATGAATGAGGTCTTCATCTTGACTATGGATCGCTGTATGAAGCTGATCTTCTAAACGCAATAACATCTTGTCTATGCCTTCACATTTTTCTCCAAGTTCTGTAGAAAGGATGTAAGATTCCTGTCCAGGGAAAAAGAAAGAGTTCATATGTAAGCTATAGAATTTTTAGGGCTATCAACACAGACAGGGCACACAACTACACACACAAAAAAACCTTCCCAGAATTGCACTCTCAGCTTCTGCACCCCAGCAGGGATCATGCTGGCTCTTCTGACTCCCCAGCGGGTTGTCCTTCAAAAGATGAGAATCAAATTCAAGCTGTTACTGAATGACAAGCTATGTCTACATAGTTCCATGGGTCCCCCATTATCTGGTCATTTCAAAGTAGGACTCCCAGTCCATCAGCTCCCAGAATGGATCCATCAGAGGGAAGCCAGAACTTTGCAGCTGCATTCATGGAAAACCAGTAATGTAACAGGTACCCTAACAAAGGAGGTGGGCATCATATCCCAGGAGCGCCTGGGCTGACCCAAACAGTCATTTGAAGGCCAGGAACCTGACAGGGCACCCAACTTTTGTCTGCACACTGGCCACAATCTGAAAACCTATAAAAGCGGGGATGGCAATGTCTTGCTTGCTGCCAGTCCTACCCCCCACTCCCACTTCCTAGCTCCACATTCCTCCAATGTTTCCCCTTCAAACGCACCTCCCACAAATGAGCCGGAAAGGCTCTGACTCTGCTCAAGCAGGAGGACTGCCCTTCAGTTTTATCTCCTTGACCTTTGCCCCTGGGCCACACCACTCATGGCTTCCATCACTGCTCCTCTTGGATGTGCCCTGCTCCACCCTCCTCTGAATGTGCCCTCCTTCCTTCAAGGCCCCAGATGGTGATCCCACCTTGTACAGCACCAGTTCGGATATAAGCTATGTCACTCAGGTGACTGTAAATTCCCTTTGGAGGGCCAGGCCTGGGTGCTCATCCCAGGACCCCTCATGGAACAGCTGGCATATAAAGGGCCATGGATTCTTAATAAATTAGAATAAACAAGGCCAAGAAAACAGGAAAACTTAGAATGAAGGAGCAAAAAAAGCATCAAATGAGCTCAGAATTAAAACTTGAAATGTAAAGAAAATATTTTGCAAATTGTGAATAGCTGAGACTCCTAAAATAACTTTGCACAAGGGAAAGTATCAAGATATGCATTCAGATTAAGCTTCAAGGTTACTACAAAAGCTACAACCAATGCCCACCAATAACCAAAAGTGCCCAGGTGTTGTAACGTTAGAATTCCTTAGATACCATGCATAATACGATATTATACTCAGAGTCCATGAATAATAATTAAACCCAGATAGTACTTTGACATTTGCTCTATTCACTCTGGAATGCTTTAAAGTTTAAATTCCAAATGGTCAACTATGTTAGAATAAAACAGTACTAATGGGAACTGTAAATAACTATTGTAAATATTGGAGAGGTCTCATGTAATGCAAGTAACTGTATATACAAAAGACAAGAAACCTAGTGACAATGTGAGGACACATGGATACAATTAAGCAGCTTTCATGTGAAATGCAAGTGCAGGTTTGCTCAAAATTGACTACAGCAGTGATGAGAAGACAGCAAACACATGAAAGTCATAGATATGTATATATTTTACTGATCCTGCAAGTAATAACATCCTCATTCAGAGACGTGGATGAAGGAGAGAGATGTTACACACAAATAGAGACAATGGGCAAAGACTAAGACCACAATCGTGCATGACATCAGTCAGACATAAAAAAAGGAACTGGAGAAACATGATGGATGGTGGGGAAACCATGCATCATACACAAAGGAGAAAAGTATAGAACTAATGGGAAAATTATATGTGACTGAGAACACGTCTGAAGGGAGAAAGGCCATAACGTTAGATCAGAAGATCAGGAGCTGAAACATTCTTAAACAACATCAGAAGACTGAATCTTCATCTTAAAACTGCAACAGATATGAAGGCAAAGCTCAGTTAAACAAAGATACAATATAGCTTTACACATCCCCCAAACATGTAGGCCCTGTCTGCTTTCCTTTGAAAACTGTGCAGACTGATGGTGATGGGGCACACTTTGGAAAGCAGTCTCACTGAGACCATGCACTAAGCACTTACACTGCTCCTATCCTATGGCCCAGTAATTCCATTTCCTAGAATCTATCAAAAAGAAACAATTTACATATTTAAATTTAAGTAATTTAGTCTTTGTTTTATATT